AGTGATAAAGCTGTGGCGAATTCTTTCATAATCATGAGATTTGAACTAACGTCGAACTTTCGACGATGTTAGTTTAGTACATGGGTTGGGTCTACGACGACCAATGAAATCTCGTGTCTTACATTACACCGTGTCAACGAAATTGTCGATTAGATAGCGATGGACGTAAACTGGCCATATAATCGTCGTACTCTCATTGATGTCACCTGGAGGCATCATACGACATTATCTGCTGGAATCCAGGCCACGCTCCTGGATTCTGATCTGTCAGTGTCTGTGTACTAGGCACGAGTGTCTGTTCAGCAGCTCATTTTGATTTTCACCTCATATAACTTGATTCAGTCCAGTGACTTATAGTGTTAAATAAATACGCTTTCAAGTAAAATTGCACTACATGAGCCAAAGATGCACTCGATATTTGTCCTCACTGGCCACTTAATCTTCTTTGAAAAGTTGTCTTCTTCTTTAATATAAAAATTTTTAAACATTTCGCTTAAGTTGAATTGTTTTGTTAACTCATTGTGTTAACTCATCATGTTAACTCACTAACTCAATTCATGAGAGTTTTATGGTATTCCTCCATGTAGTATATCCTGCATTTCCTCCTGTCTAGACGATGTGTGCTTCCACAATTAAGCTGAGATATTTGTGAAACTGGGAATCCCAGAGCAGCTTCGAACCCACAATTAACTTTTTTGGGGATTCAGGTGTTACCCACTGTACTATCAAGGCCTTTGCTTTGCCTTTCTCTCAGTCAGTTTCTTAACGTAGCGATGCCATCAGCAATCAATCACCCCTCGACGGGAATAATCTGAGGAACACAAATCAGTAATAAACCCAGTTAAGCTAAGGCTTTAGTAGAAGTCACAATGTACAATTTTTTATCCATTTTTTTAAGGGAGGGTATTATGTGAAACACAACCGCAATGGTGCTGAGAAATCTGGGGTCCGAGTTTTGGAGATATTCCAGCATCATTAAAGCTGCATTTCATAGTACCCTACCGTGAAGAAAAATTGGGAAGTGGATAAAAGAGTTAAATTCTTTCTTATTTTTTATTAGTGACTTGCAATAACTACGGAAACTGGAAGGGACTGGACTTATTATCACCTTTGATCTTCTCCCAGCTAACTGGATTATCTAAGATCTTAAGAAGGGCAGGTCTAGAGGAATCGGTAGCGATAGTTGAAATGCCACTGGCTACTCTACGTCGCCAATTAGTTCGCAACCGCTTGCATGACCGTCTGTGTGAAACAACAAATTGCGTAATTTGCCCTTACGGCAGAGACGGTGATTGCATGAGTTCAGGTACGATATACCTGATCTCTTGTAACAATTGTGGAGATGAATATATTGGTGAAACGGGCAGACCTTTGTGTATCCGTATAAAAGAACACCTAGATGGCAAGCGAAAACTAAAACGAAGCGCCCTACTAGGCACGCATAGGATACAAAAGCATAGCGGAGTCGATTTTGAAGTAAAAGTCAATATCCTTGCACAGGAGTCCAAAACACCAGCGCGAAAACTCCTTGAGGCTTTTTGGATAAATGCCAAAAACCCTACAATGAATAGCAGGGACGAATGCCCGGAGGTCATACGCGACCTGATCCCGTACGTTCGCATCGATTTTTGATGTGGGATGGTGCAGTCGTCAACCACATGCGACTATAATCAGCTGTTCTAAACTTCCCCATTGGAAGTCACGTAAGGAGCGGTGAGTTTTTCGAGAAGCTGTTGATCATGTAATTACCATAGTTTTTCGTCTTTTTGTAAGTGTTATTGAAGCATTTGGCCTAGTAGATTGTACATCAGCATACCCTTCCAGACTCTGAAGAAGGCGAAACGTTAGCTAGCGTTGTATTGTATTGTGTTTTTCTATGGAAGTAAATGTATGCTGTTTAACAACTTCGCGATTGCTGAACAAGAAAACGACGATTTCATATTCCAATGCCGAGATTAATAGAAAGTCGATCCTGGGAACTTTGTATTATCTAAAATGGTTGGAGAAGCTCCAGAGACGACGAAAAAGTAGCGAAGCAATGAAAGGAGAATGCGCTGGAGTCCGAAACTGGCGTTAAGGTAGACCAAGCGTTCAAGCAAGTAGAGGTGTTAAAATTATGAGTCAATCTGACATAATGGTCATACGAATTCTATCTCCTGATTCACCTTCATCTCAAAGCAACTAGAAGGTTGATTTTTCTCAGTGTTTGAGCGATACCAGGTTCTTGGGATGCGTAATGTAATTTCGCAACTAATCAGCTCAACATTGCGTACATAAGGGAAGTCAGCGTTTGTCCTACCATGTCACAGAATAACCGTCCATTTCCTTACCATTTGTGCTAACCAATGACGTACCTAGATGTCGAATTGCGATGTACAGCGCAACGAGGCCCGATCACGCTGAACGATTTTATAAAATGAGAAGGAGGTCAACATTTTATTCCATCCGGAAGCCCAGCTAGGAACAAGGATATCGAAAAACAATCTGGTGGGCGTCTTTGGCTGTTTATTGCCATAAAACGTGGAAAAGGACTTGGAATTTATAGTATGGTGATCTTTGTAACTCTTGTGCGTCTCTGATACGCGGCAGGACAAAAGGGGTCCATTACTACCCATTTGAGCTACTCCTTGATTAACGGAATCACAGGTGATACAAATGATAACAGAACAAAATAGTGAGCTGTCGTACTTATTCCGTTAACACCACCTCACTCTAACCTTTAGTGCGCAATGATCCCGAACTCCATACTTCTCCAAAAATGGTTTTAATTGCGAAAGACTTCTCAAAATAGGTTTCCAAAAGAGGTTTGTTCATGAAAGAATGTTCATGACCATTTATGAAATGTTTCTGACTGCAAAGAGCAAAGAAGTCGCCTCTAAGGTCGGAATTTTATCACATTTCCTCAACGCTTTTATGAACTGTTAGCTTTCACTTAAGTCCATTCTACGTCGCTGTTACAGCGAAAATCGAAATCGTTCGAGTCTGATACTCACTACACATACTATTTATACGTATGTCTAACAGGTTGTCATTCTCGGTGCAAGACGAACGTAAAACAGGTCCATAAGAAATCAGTGATGCTGCCAACAAAGTGTGATGCATTGTTTCGCTACTCATCCTCGTTACTGTACGCATTTACATTCCAAACATTTTGTTGTTCTTGTTTACCTTCTTACATGCTACCGTAGCCCACTTCTCCTTCGTCATCACTCATTTTATGTGACGTGAATTTTATTGTGTTAAACGGTTCAGCCTCCACTGTGGAACATTCACCTCTCAAATACATGTATGAAGCACGAAGTTGAATGCCATGTGGTGAAGGAGACTCGTCGACCTCGATGAAACCGCTTACCCTAGGCTAAAGTAACCCTAAGCAGAAAGTTTCAAAATTCACTAGATCATTCGCAAAAACCAGATTCAATTAAACAAACCAAAATCGTTTACGAAAGCGCTAGCACCGAAAATGTGGTCGATAACGTGCCTGAAAAGTGAAGGGTCACCATGTTAGGAGGCATAACTCTCCCCGATGACTCGCGCTCGCTATTAGAATTGGGATATTCGTTCACAGTTGTTCCATAAATTACACTTGGAACAAGAACGCCAACCACTCTACTGTGAAGTGAGATCAAAGCTGGTAGTATCGGCATGAAATGGAAATGTTTATAACACTGTAATAACCCATGTAATTTGTTTCCACTTTATTTCAAATGAAATTTTTCATATAATGTTTTGTTTTGTTTTCATTTTTTAGTCGAAAACGCTGTATGGAAACTTCTAAACACTGGCATAGCTTTTAACAACCGACTTTCGCACAACCTCAACGAGAATAATCAGCATACTTTTTCAGATAGTCCAGCCTACTAGTGTAACTTGAACATTCCAAAAAAACCTTAGCAGGACTGTGCAATCTCACACCAATCCCTTTGCTACAGTAGTTCTACTGATATATATATTTATTTACACGACCTTATGAGCCGATCTTATCGAGCCGATGCGCGGTTGGTAAAGGTTTTCGTTGTCGTTGTTGTTGTTGTTGTTGTTGTTGTTGTTGTTGTTGTTGTTGTTGTTGTTGTTGTTGTTGTCGTTGTTGTTGTTGTTGTTGTTGTCATTATTATTATTATTGTTGTTGTTGTTGTTGGTGTTATTGGTTTCGGCTGCCGTTTCGGCGATTTCGCCTTCCTCAGAGCAGTGCTGTTATGAGTGGGATTCGAGTATATAAATATATATATATATATGTATATATATATAGTATATATTTTCTCCTTATTGTCGAGGTTATCTATTTGATAGATTTCTAAACAAGCACTAATATTTGTTAACAAATTAGCTCCTGTGCTGATTTTTTGATAATTTCTGATGGCTTATAGATAACTGAATCACTGTAGATGAGATTAAGAACTTGTCAGACCTAGTTTCTATCGGAAAGTTTTCAAAATACAAGCTTTTAAAATATGATTTTTATTCAAATTCTGTTATGATTAGGTTTTAGTACATTAATAGAATAGGGAATTTTCAAATTCTTAACACAAATGCGACAAGCAACTGCTCATTTTGGCAATTTGTTCGGGAACATCAAAAACTCCTGCTGGACATAGTACCGATATATCTAATCTCTTCGCTGCTTCAGCGACGAGCTTCGATGAGAAAAGAGAAAATAAAAGGGATACGTGAGTTTTAGAGAATTAGAATCTTCCCGAAGAAGAATGCTTGCTTTTTATAGGCAAGAATCTGCAGGTTTTCGTCGCCTTCGGTTCATTTCATAACGTTCACTAAGAGTCGAAATATTGTAATTTAAATCCGAATGACGAACGCATTGAGATCAATGCACATGATCATTAATGTCTTAGAGCAATGGTGTCCTACTTGTATAAGGGTGAAAGCCCGAAACTAATCGTTTATTACTCAAATATCATAATATTTCGCACTTTGTTTCGTGATGTTTTCACAACTTCGATGTAGATTTTTCAGTCAAAGAGGAGCGAATATCACATTTGTTTAGAATGACGTGCCCATTTAATGGAACGCGAGTCGCATTCATGGAAATGACGGATGAAGAAGCACAATCTGGCGTTAATAAAGTGGAGCTCAGCCAAGGAGTAACGTACGGAGAATATTTGCAGGTGATATTTATCTGTCATCTAGTTGAAAATGCTGCTCGTGGACCATTTAGTAAATGCTGACAGTAGTTAAGGTATTCTAACTAGTACCGACAGTACTTCTCATATGCTAACCAAACTCGCGCTTTCTCTCTCTCTCTCTCTCTCTCTCTCTCTCTCTCTCTCTCTCTCTGTTCCTTTTCTTCTTCCCCTCCTTCCTTTTTATGTCCTGTTTCTTCCCCTCTCTGTAAACCACTCTAAGACGTGTCGATTGATTTGATAGAGTATCATATGATTAGACCTAATGTTAGACATAGCCTCAGGCTTGAGCTTAGACTCACTATCGCCAGAAACCTCAGATACGTGCTCGTCAGCTGTTACGTTTCGTCTGTAAGAGCGGAACAATCAGAATCACGCAAAACACTGCAATTTTTTTCATTTTTAAAAATTAAATGTGTACTGTAGTTCGATCGCCTTTTTTATGGCTGCATTCTCTAGGTGAAACATTGCACTGCGAAATAACTTTTAAAGATGAACCTAAAAAGTTGTGGCTTTAGTTGCTATTGGTGCTCAATGAGCAACTATAAAACGTCAAAGAAATTAGAAACACAGAGAATAGTTAAATCAGGAATTCCTAGGAAAATCTTGATCCGAGAGCACTTTTGTGTTTGGTTTGTAGACGTTACCGGTTTCAGTGTTGGTAAGCTTATATGTTGATGAGTACGAGCTTTTCCTACTCGAGTAGCTCATCACGTAAGGACGTTTCTCATCAGCTATTCAAGAAAGATTCGAGGTAGTCCTCTCAAAAATTCTCAACAACTGCTTTGGCACGCACAATTTTCTCTTGCTTCACCAACGTCATAAGTCTAGCTCTCTTTGATGCACTTCGGGAAAACGACCTAAGTAAAGTTTACCCACATAGTGCGTGGAAAGTAGAAAAAAAAATGGGACTCGAATAGCAATCATTTTTCTCGCTCAATATCAGTGAAGATAAAGGATGAGAGGATGAGGCCTTCGGCGTTTATCTATCTCCAAGGATGTGTCATTCGTAGAACCATAGAGAATAAGTGGATATTCAGTCTGTAAAATGGCTTCCTGGGACCTACTGATGTATTACTTGAACACATTTGTCGTCCTATACAAGTCCGATCAAAATGTACCGACCTCGGATGAGCAGCCTTGGCTACCTCCAAGGCGCATGGTTGCACCACTAACCACTGCACTATATAGGCTCATGTCAACCAATATAAGACGATAAGTATTCTTCTCACTGGGTCACCTAGAACTTTCACTGCTAAATGCGAATTGAATAATCAAATGAATCCATTGATTAACGAAGGAGCTGATTCCCTTTTTTGGCAAACTAATATGACGAGAAATGTCAGAATCAATAAAGTCACTTTACTTGATACTTAATACTTGAACGGTCCGCCGTCATTAGTTGCGCGGGCGCCAGCATAATCACCATTTTTCGGAGACTTGCTGGCTAAGCCATTGTGGTTCCCTGGAAGTCAGGACAGCCTGGCCAAAGTCTGTCCCATAAAGTCACTTTAATCCGTTAAAATTACATCTCCTCTGTTTTATATCTAGTATACTTTATCACAAAACTAGAAGTCACTGGAAAGCAGAAAGTGAAAAGGTAGGAAAGTAGATGCTAGATGCCTGTACTGAGAGCGTGCAACAAAGAGGAGGTGAGCTCTTGCATTCACTCACTTTTATAAGCGATGAAGTAAGCGCAGCTATAAAACGATGCTTAAGAAGGGCAGGTCTAGAGGAATCGGTAGCGATAGTTGAAATACCACCGACTACTCTACGTCGCCAATTAGTTCGCAACCGCCTGTATGATCGTCTGTGTGAAACAACAAATTGCGTAATTTGCCCTTACGGCAGGGACGGTGATTGCATGAGTTCAGGTACGATATACCTGATCTCGTGTAACAATATTTGCGGAGATGAATATATTGGCGAAACGGGCAGACCTTTGTGTATCCGTATAAAAGAACACCTAGATGGCAAACGAAAACCAAGACGAAGCACCCTACTAGGCACGCATAGGATACCAAAGCATAGCGGAGACGATTTTGAAGTAAAAGTCAATATCCTAGCACAGGAGTCCAAAACACCAGCGCGAAAACTCCTAGAGGCTTTTTGGATCAATGCCAAAAACCCTACAATGAATAGCAGGGACGAATGCCCGGAGGTCATACGCGACCTGATCCCGTACGTTCGCATCGTTTTTTGATGTGGGATGGTGCAGTGTTTTTATGGAAGTAAATGTATGCTGTTTAAAAACTTCGCGATTGCTGAACAAGAAAACGACACATTCACTCACTAAAAACAACTCTGCACTTGACGCTCGCCAAAAAAGAATATATGCAGAAGTGATCAATTTGCTTCATGGACTCTGAAATATCCGAATATTCGCTCTTCTATGTCGTTTACAACCAAAAGCGTGAAGTCTATTGCATTAAAATAATCTGCTAAGCCTATAATAGGTAAAGTACGTAGTCTTTTTACACTGAAACACGTAGTTCCCTTTGATCGTCGATTTCATTGCGTCTTTTTTCAGCTGCATAAGCTATTAGACTGTCAGAAACTGCAATCAGAAGAACAAGGTGATCGAGTTGACGACGAACATCTATTCATCATTATTCACCAGTCCTACGAGCTCTGGTTCAAGCAGATCATCTTTGACATCGACATCGTGCGGCTTCTACTTAACAATACAGTACGTCCTCCATTATCCGCCCCTTAATATCAATCCGGATATATCATAGCAAGCTCAAGTCATCTCATTTTTCTAAGAGAGAGAAAGCACAGTCTTACCTTTTTACTTCCTGCCTACCATAATTTTTTACGGCAGAGTATCATGTGAAACACAACTACGATGAATCTGAGATATTGGCAAAACTACGGACCGCAGGTATCTGCAGTGGGCAACGAACGTGCTACTGTCCTTTCCGAGTAGTAATGCGTTCACCACCACACCATGGGGTCCTTCGTTACGCCTGTCTCTCAGCTAGTTCTATCGATCTTTTGCCATCAGCAATCACTCGATCGATAGAAGTAGTTTAGACAAGCGAAACGAAGGACCCGCATGGTGCGGTGGTGAACTCGTTACTCCCCGGAAAGGACAATAACGCGTTCGTTCCCCACCACAGACACCCGCGGTCCGGAGAGAAAGTCTTATGACATCTAGAAAATGTGACGCTTAACGCGTATGGAATTGATGAATTCTTTAGAGATTCATCATGCATTGAACTGCAATCTTGACATCGTAGAGGTAGAGATCGTTGAATGCATTTTGCAGAACGACTTGCGAAGGTCTACTGGTTCATTGATTCAATGTTTTTTAATCCTAGACAAGTCGGTCCGCTTGCTTGGCTTTCCTGGTACCATTTTAGTGACCTCGGGGGACAGAAGGTTGATTAGCTTGTGGCGTGTGATCGAACCAATCATCACGTGTGTATTGTATGGTAACTCTAACTACCGCGTTACACTCATCAGTTGACGTTGTATCGCAGAAAATTCTCCCCTTACTGCTGACTTCTATGGGTTCATGGTTCTCCATTGCAGCGTTCCCGTCTCCTCCCTTATTCGAGTTTCAACTACTGTCCACATTTCAATCGTAAGGAAAGTATATACACTAAGGAAAGAAACACGGATAGAATGCTGAGCTCCTAAAATGCAAAACGTCTCACAGTTTCATGTCGTAGTCTCTAAATTTACCATATACATCTACTGTTTCACCTTTCAGCGTAGTTTTTTTTAGTTGAAATGAAATTCAATCTTTCATTAATGTTATTAGGGGAAAATGTTTTCATCACTTACTTACAAACCAGTCCTTCCGATTTGTCTTTGCTTTTGTCAAATTCGGAAGGTTGAGTATAACTACGATTTTCAGGTTGTCGACGAAACAAAAACCTTACGAATTGTATCGGGGCTGGATCGAACCGTGCGAATTCTAAAATTACTTGTCGATCAGATTACAATTCTTGACACGATGAGTCCACTGGATTTTGTGGATTTTAGGTTATAATATTAATAATAGGCTTCAACATAATGTATAAAGGTTTTATTGGTTTTTTCCTTTACGATTTTTTTGTATCTCATTGTCTATCCCTCCAAGCGATGAGTGAATAAGGCATCTGGCGTTGATTAATCCCAGAGGGATGCATTATATGCGTTATGCATTGGTCTTTATTTTCATCAAGCATCATTAAAAGAGGTTGAATGCATGCCTAGCTTAAACAGTAATCACAGTAGCCTACTGACGTATTAGATGGGTGTTTTCATACCCCAAGACAACTGTGATACTAGTTTTCCGACCAAGGAGTGATAGACAGCTAGATTACCCGTGGGCGAGGGATTGAACCAAGGGTCATGTGTGCATTGTTCATTACATGGCACTCTAATCGCCGCTCCAAGTATGCCCTTCAGTAAAATAAACTGAACAGAACATCTTGTTTCCAAATGATGACAACTCTCTCTCCACTTTGAACCAATTACTGGACAGAATTCTTTCTAGGAAATATCTCACACCAGCGTCAGGATTTCAATCGTTACAGTTCAGGCTATTAGAGAACAAGATGGGAGTCCGACCAGACAGACGAATTAGGGTGAGTATCGGTCGGTACGAATTGGAAAATTACTCCCTATATCGGAAAAATGATTGAAGTGTAATAATGGTGATCACCTTCAACGTCCATTATCACCTACAAAAATATCTGAGAGTGAACAAGCTTTTATTTGTTCTTTCATTTCCTTGTGATGGAAAACTCGTCCAAAGCTTTTCCCCCTCCTCTGTCCTTCACTCACCATATTTTTGGACCTCACTACCTTTTTATTTGTTAATCACGCATTTCTTCATGTCAATGAGGTTAAAGGAATTTCATAGCGGTTTTTTGATGTTTTTGACAAACATTAAGTTATTTCATAACTGATATGTTTCTATCACATGGCAACACTAACTTGTCAACAACTGCGAAGAATTTGCTAGAAGTTGAGAACAGTTCCATTTTCAAGTACAACGCGCAACACTACAAAAATGTGTTTCTTAACAAGGACGAGCTGATGGCGCTTGAGAACAGTGAGAATGAACCATCACTTCTGATGCTGATTCAGGTTCGATTTCAGCCTCATTTGGGTTAGTGCCCTCTGTTTAATATAACGCAAAAGCAAAAATTATCATTCATAGATAAAAACTCATCATTAAGCATCTAAGACCATCTAATCGCGAAGAATCTACGAATTTCGTAAATTGATTGATAACTGATAGCTGCAGGCATGAAAGAGTTGGTGATTTAGAATTGGTTGGAGAGAACACCTGGTTTGAAGCAGGCAACAGTGGATGGTGAAGAAGAAGAGGGTTTCTGGCCAAAATACGAAAGAGCAGTGGCAAGATATCTTAGCGATCTCTATGATGAGGCTACGGTAGGGAGAAGTAACATTTGTCGTTATCACTTCATGGCTAAAAGAAGTACTAGTTTTATGTAATGAAACTGGTAACGAATTTGTTTTCACTGAAAACGATTTTTTTTTCTATTTATTCTCAGAAAGAAGGGCTACCACCAAACGTTCGTGATCAGCTTGTAGCGGAATATTACAAGACCAAGGACTCTTTTGCAACAATTCTTGACTCAAAACAACATGCACAACAGATTCTCAACGGTATCGTAGTTTTGATTCTTGTGATTAAATTCGAGCTATTGAAATATCTACCAGATATTACAACACCACTTAAAAGGTTCGAGCATCTGAAACATCATTAAGCTTCCTGTTTATTAAATATTGTAGAAAGGACAAAGGTTCTCCATTGCTCAATCTTTAAGGGATTCGCTGTATATTCAGGATAAGTGGGTGCATATTGGTCCTATACAGACCCACCTATGTGTCGAATCAGTGTTTCTATCCGCCCACACGTCTGGTAGCTGTTTGCTGACTACGGTTGGAGGATTGGGTTCGCCCTGTATCCACGCACGTTCCAGCATCTACGGATCCTTGGGCGGCATTGAATTAACGACCAATCCAGTATATATTGCATAGCACCTCTAACCACTGCGCTACACGCGCTTCAAAAGACGTACATTGTTTACACTGATTAATTGGTTCAAGGTGTACGAATACACTTGAGTTTCACCGCATTTGCATTATGCTATACATAATAATTCACGTGAATAGAATTTAACCATCATCAATGAAAATTTTTATTTAAATCGCGCCGATGCTGTCGCTTGCGTGCTGTTTTCTGAGGCACCACTGGTTTATTTGATTATGTTCTTTAATGTATGATATTTTGCAGGCTCACGTTTGTTATCACATGATGCTATGAAAGGAGCGTTGATGATTTATTTCTATCGGTACGGTAGCTTCTTTAGTACAAATACTACAGATAGAAGTCAAACATAATGATTTCAACAACGACAACAGCTTTAAGGAATGATTAGATGATTGGTTGAGTGCGTAAAATGAGTGAATCCTTCTCTAAATCTTTCGCTTTCCAGAGATATGCCTCGTTTCTCTCAGCCATATCAAATTCTCACCTATCTTATGGATATTGATAGCTTATTCACTAAATGGAGATGTAAGCCGGTTAATGTATGACAGTTGTCCAAAGCGATAAGTGATAAGGAAAATTTCGTGTTCAGATAATCATGTCATTCTTGTTCAACGTATGCTTGGTTGCAAACAAGGAACTGGTGGCAGTTCTGGATATATGTATTTGAGAAGTACTGTTAGGTAATGTTATCTTCCATATTGAACAGTCATGGGCTCGGTTATCGACAACTACCGTAATCCATGCGATTATGTTTTCGAGTTTCTGATTTTTATGAGTAGATTTTGAATTCTCCCTTGAAAAAACGCTCTGCAAGTGGAAAACGAGTGATAAAAACCTTTTGTGAGAGTTCTACACTGCATGTTTGTTTCAATCGATTAGAATAAAAACGCTTGCTTAGCAGATCCAACTCGAAACTATGCAGTATTTTTTCAAGAAAAAAAAAAGAAGAACTATCAAATTGAGCGGTAGTTGTTACAATGGATTACGGTAGTGCTTAAATTTCAGAAGGAAATACTGTGTTAGTTCTGAGCTTAGCGTTGAAACGTTGACCTCAATATTAGTTTTCAGCGACAAATATAAGGTATTTCTGGATCTGTTCAATTTGTCGACATGGCTTATTCCTCGTGAGTATATTCCATCGCTAAGTCCACGAATGGTGAAGACACTGTCCGAACACTCGAATCTGAGTGGTGCGATGATGTCATCGGAAAGTGAATGAATTCATGCGGCAGACCGGCGGTCATGTCCACAGAGCAAATTAAACGAGTTTTGGGACATGGTGTGGTTGCTGTCTGGTCGCACACAATTCTACGAGAAAAGCAGTTTGCCGCTTCACGTTCCCAAAGGAGGCCATTTGGTGCTGTGTATATGACTGCAGATTTGATAAATCTCTATAAGATCACACTTGCTTGGAGCCTACAGTGAGTACATGAACGATTTTCTTCAGACTACCCGAAAAGAAAAAATGTAGAGATATAAACATAAGTATCTTTTATGTCTCCCAGACTCGTTATCACTGATCCTATTTACTGTTAGTGCATGAGATAACAAGAACAAGTTGAACATCGAAAATCTGAAGTTCTATCCGAAGATAATCACCTATATCACCCGTAATCCTGTCGATTATCGATAAACTCGAGCAAGTAGCAGTAGACTCTTTTCGTTCCTTTCACGTGTCACAGTCATATAGGGTTCTCCGCTCGACGAATTCGGAACACCCGAAGGGCATACTTTTAGTGTGGTGTGCTTTTTTTATTGTTTTTGCTGAGCAAATAGGCAATGTGTTCACTTGGCTCTGCCGGTGGTATCGATATAACCTTTTCTAGGCTTGTAGTCAAAAGTGAGGCCCTTTTCTGGGCTTTTATTCAGGAGTGATGAACTCATTAGCGTGGGTGATCTTGGTGCCGCAGAAGGGTTGCAGTTCGAAGCCCATGAACATCCCCATCCATTATATGACTGAAGTTCATTTCGGGCGGATGAATACGATAGCAGTTTAAAATCTGAAAACCATAAATACTAATAAGCTGACGAGCTTTCCGCAAGTGACTATGTCTTGCCAAACAGTTCTAACAGCAAAGAAATATACAGAGGAAGAATTTTCAGTGTCTAGAAACTATTTTTTCAGCGCGAAGCCGCTTACTGACTGACAGAGGCAGTAGAATGATAGAATGAATTTGTGGGAGATTTCCCTGCTATAAAGGATAAAGCTCTCGGCGTTGATCAATCCCTTTAGGGATGCGCCATGCATTCGACTTCATTAAGTATGGTTGGAGGTGATGGAATGCATATCTGGCCTTTACATTGACTCGCGGTGGCCCACCGATGTATCGAGCCAGCGCTGCTATCCTCCCAGACGATACCAATTTTCCGAGCCCGGAAAGATGGAAAACTTGGTGGGCCATGGCCGCAGAGATCCATTCCACGTGTGTATCGCAGTGATTCCTCCAACCACTGCGCCACACGCGCTCCTGCTTTAATTGATTAGAATATGTTGTCGAAGGGAACTCGAAATAGAATACCACTTTTGGAAGCTAACAGGCCAGCTGAAAAATGAAGTTTAAAAAGTAGAAGGATAAATTTCGTTAGAAAAATATTTGCGGTCTTACTTTGGCTATGGAAGTAGGAACATAATGTAAAGCAACTGGAGATGTACATGTACCAACGATGGTATCTCTGTCAATCCATTTGATGTCTGTACTTATTCTCTGACGGATGAATCCACTAAGATCGTTTTCCAATAAAGATCTTAGCTAAACCCTCACACTTCCTTGATTCTATTATTTGGTTGAATTCAGCTTAACCTGTTATTTCTTACATTCTACAGTTACTGGTAACGGCGCAGTTTAAACCGAGAGCAATCATTTTCAACTCCACCCAGCTAAATCGAAAAGATTGTCTTATAGACTTATTTAAACCAAATAGCCAGAATATGGTAAAGTCAACCTTCAGAAGCATGATAAAGAAGTCCGATTGACGTTTTCAGATATGCGTACTACATCCAACAACGAATCCGCTTTAGGTTATCATTATCAAAACTGGAAAGGACTTACGGAACTGCTGTTGCCTCGAAACTGAAACATTTGCGTACCTAATGGGTGTAATAAAACATCACCGAATAATACCCTACAAAAGTACTACGTATGCTTTTCGAAACAATGATGAACATTCCACAAATGATAAATTATAACAATAGTTAGTCAATAGCTTTTTATAGTGTCTGTTTTTTATAGCTCTTTAGATCAATCCCGTTGACGGGTGATTGCTGATGGCATTGATCGATAGAAAACTAGCTGAGAGACGGGCGAAACGAAAGACCCTCATGGTGTGGTGGTGAACGTGTTAGCCCCAGGAAGGAGTAATAGCGCGTTTGTTCTCCACCGTAGACACCTGTGGTCCGGAATGTTGCGCAACATGGTTCCTCACCATAATAGCGGCCATCTAAGCACAAGAGCTTTTATTTCCACATGGAAACAAATGTAAGTCTGTGCTATAAATCGTCGCCATACTGGAATAAATGAAGGCACTGGACATCAAGCTCTCATTACTACTCCGCTTCCCTCTCTTCTTAAGCTTAGTAAGCCCTTGAACAACTTTCTTTAAACTCCGTGCGACGATGTCAAGAGGTCACACAATTGATGAAAAGTGATATGTCGCTACTAGGATGTTTCTCCTAATGTCGACTTTCTCGATCAACTGAAGGTCACGGAACGTGTTAGCCCCAGGAAGGGGTAATAGCCCGTTCGTTCTCCACCGCAGACACCTGCGGTCCGAAATGTTTCACGTAATAATCCCATAAGGGACTAATAATGAGTTAGTCGGCGTAGAGCGATAAACGATGGAGCCAGAGTAACACCTAGGGAACAACATGAGTTGATTTCCACATGCGCAGTGCGAAAATAACAACCGCCCACAACTTTAAGCCAACATATCTCATCTCGAAGTGAACTTTACTTATTGGAACGAAAAGTTCTTTTTGGTTTTATGTGACTCGTCATCAAATCTACTGTGCGGATACCAGCACATCTCTCGTTGGTTTCGTTTTCTTCGCATTCGTCCTCCGCAAGGGTCTTCGAACATTTCGCGTATTCCTTCGGTTGCTGCTTGAGGATTCCGTTTTCTTTATGAACATCCTGGTGGAGTCGATTCTCCTCACCGATCATCGAGATAGCCAAGCTACGACGTTTCCACGTGTATTGAAGGAGAGCGCTGGTAGGGAGTCCAAACAGCACCTTCCTGATGGACTGCATAATTAACTACTCCGCTATTCTCGACAGAAAATGTTAAAGTTTACAAGTCTTCGCCTACAGGTCAGAAACCCTTTTATTATACCATGACCAAATTCTGATTTTCTGGAACACATTAAACCAATCTGTGCACCTTTTCAGCCGAGTCTAATATGAAATGGGAATGAAAACGGTTGAACAAGCAGTATTTCATCCATTAGGGCAGGATAATATTCCTAAATTTGTTATTGAAGGTTAAGGCTGCTGGAATTCCGTTTGGAGCTTCAAAAATTTAGGCTTCATTTTCATTTTCTTAGGAAATTTGGGATCCAAATAACTTTAAAACTCACATGACAATTTTTTAAAAAAAGCTTATCTTTAAATAAATAAGACAAGGTCTCTTCTACCCTTCAACTGTCCTTTTTTCATTATTCAAGAGAGCAAAAGCCATTGTAGGAAAATGGGAGTCCTTTATCAAAACGACTTTTATTGAGCTTGATTAATTCCTCAAAAATGGATTTTGTTATCAGTGTACTTACACTTTTCTGAATTTAAGCCAATCACCGTCTTTTCCTTGGCGCCGGTTTCCCAGCTGTAAGCGTTTAAGAAGCTGCGGTGAAGTTAAGAAGTTTGTGCGTGCAGGGAAGTCTAGGAAGAGCCAAGGAAGATCTACGAACGGCTTATCAAATCGCTCAAAACATGCAGCAAGTGGACTTCCATTCTTCAATTAAGAAGTTCTTATGTCTCCCATTATCGCTCGGGAAAAAGTATCACCCTAATCTTTTCATTCCACCAGCTTTTGTTTTTAAGTGGAAATCAAAGACACGAATAGGAACAAAGCTCCAATATCAGACTACACTACGACCAACATCTTTCGAGCTAGAAGCTACTAGGAATAAACAGTTCTCTTAATTCACATGACAAAAAGGTAAGGAGCCCAGAGTGGGTGCTTGTAGACAACATGACGCTACAGCGTCAAAATAAACGTCATCTCAGCCACAATGCTCCTAATACTGTTCTGCATTGTCCGTCGCAAAAGAAAACCATACGGAGCGATGGAAAGTCCCTGTCTGGACTTTGTTTTGTAATTATCATTGTATCAATTTTGGTGAAGTTCCACTGACCCAAACACTACGTTTCAAGAGCCTAGCAGAATCGATAAAAAAAGAAAACGTGAAAGAAAATCGGAAGAAGTTCATTTCATGAGAAACTCACGCTGCGATATTGCACAGATTGAGATGGATGGGAATATAAGAGCGCACCTTCATGGACTGCGTAGGGGCCTTTCACAGAAGCCACCTTCCACCTGATGGATCCGAAACTTCGTGTTTATTTGCTTAGCTCTACTGTCCTCTCAGTGTGCATCACTTATGGAGTGTTGAAAAGATGTTTGTTGAAATGTAACTAATACACAGGATCGACTTTCTCTTAACCTCGGCATTGGAATATGAATGTGTCGTTTTCTTGTTCAGCAATCGCGAGGTTTTTAAACAGCATACATTTACTTCCATAGAGAAACACAATACAATACAACGCTAGCTGACGTTTCGGCAGTATCGCCTTCTTCAGAGCCGCTTTTTTCGTGACTTCCGATGAGGAATTTTAGAACAGCTGATTATAGTCGCATGTGGTTGATGACTCAATTTCCTCATCGGAAGTCATGAAAAAAGTAACTAGTACACTCAACATTAAAATATACACGAAGTTCGTGATTCGGTTGACATCACGCTTTACTTTGTGCTATGTCGTTAACACATAACGAGCGATAGGGAGGTATGGGTCTACACGTGGCGTTCCGAGCAGTCGGCACGACCTCTATTAGAGTTACTCTTTTTCGGTTGTTTATTTTGGCGCACAGAACCTTTTTCCACGTTCCTGATAACCCCTCCATAGCTCATCCAACACAGATGTAGCGGGCGTTGGCTGAGAAAAGCTCTATTTTGCATTTAGAAATGTGCAAAAGCCTTTTTTTGGACAAGTTCATGGACAGGCAATT